TTATATATGTGACGCCAAGTGAAATAAACTTAACTTCATAAAGTAGTAATTAGTAATTTAATTATATATTACTAATTACTACTTTAAGGTTAGTAATTTTAAAAGATATGTCTCAAGAAGCTTGAATATGTATATACATGAGCTCTTAATTTGATGATTTTGTTTTGTTTTGATGGTGATAAGTGATCTAAATGAAGTGTTTTTAAAAACATGATAGTTTTGAATCTCTAATCCTTACCTGATTTCGTTAAAGGTCCTTGGCACAGATCCAACCCACCTCTGGATCCGGAGGAACTGCTATTTCGATCGCAATCGAAGATCGACGAGATCGGCCAGCGCCAGCAGCAGCGACGCCGAACCAATCTCCAGTTGGAGAATACCGAAACCTAAGCGGAAGCTGAACCTTCAACTAAGGCCATTACAAATGTTTAAAATGGATGATTTTTGGCAGCAAGCGCGCGTGCCTTTCTCTCTACACCATCATCAGCAGCAGCAGCAGCAGCAGCAGCAGCAGCAGCAGCAGCAGCAGCAGCAACAGCAACAGCAACAGCAACAGCAGCACCAGCAGCAGCAGCAGCATCATCAAAATACGCATCCGCATCCGCAGGCGCAACCGCATCCGCGCCCCTTACTCGCTCAGCAATCGTCTAGCAGTAACAATAGCCACCTGCCGTCGCTTAGCAAATTGGAGCAGTCGCAGCAACAGCAGCAGCAATCACCATCACACCAGCAGCACCATCATGTCGATCAGTGCTATAGTCATGAGGCATTTGTTGTGCAGCAATCGCTGGCGACAACGCCAGCAGCGCCGTCGGCGCATCTCAGTAATCATCATTTGCTATTCAATGCAGCCGCTGCAGCAGCTGCTGCTGCGCATCTGAAGACAACTGCATTGAATAATAGGTCAGCCGTTGGTTCCGGTTCCTCAACCGATCAGATGGACAATCCGAGCAATTGCAATAGCGTTAGTAATCTGCTCTTAGTGAAGACCAAGCAGGAACAGCAATCACATCCCCAGCAGCACCAGCAAAAGCATTCCGACGATCCGCACCCAACACCACAACAATCAGAGCAGGCATATGCCACTACTTTCTTTGACGCTTCCAGTGATAAGCATCCGCAGCAACCACAGTCACAGTCACAGTCTCAGTCACAGGCGCAATCGCAGTCACAGCATCAACATCAGCAGCTGCCACACCAATCACACAGCCCGCTGCTCTCAAAGACAATATCGCAAGGTCAACAATCGCCGCAGCACTCGATAACGCCATCTGGCGGCAGTTCCACGCCCGATATTAAATACAATAACGAAAAGCTAGCCAACGAGATTCAGGTAAAGTTGACAACTTTAACATAAATATAGACAAAAATAAATAAATAAATAAATAAAATAAAACCATAAAATTGGTACAAAGAGTTGCAAACAGACATACAAATAGCGAAAGCCCAACGAAACATTTAGCTTAACAATACGAAGTGACCCTGAATAGTGTCGAAAATGACAGGAAATTAAGTAAAGCATGTAAGAATAAGAAACAAATAAGCAAGAGCATACCCCATTGCTGATATTTGAATTCAAAAGCCCTTAAGAGAGTTGAATATGAGAATAATAAAGCATTTGCTGGGCCAAGGGTATTCATACTCTTCATTCTGCAAGAGAGAGTTGTCAAAGAGAGCTAGTTCTCAGAAATTTCCCACATGCTTCCATCTGCTTAAACATTTACCCCTTTACTTGGTAGTCAGACCGAAGAGCACGCAGGAAGGGGTAGACGGCGATAAAGATGTGAAGTAAAGAGATGCGATACATGAATCAAGAACTTCTGCTCTCTCGCGCTAGAGCACCTTCTAGACATTTTTAATTATGGCGTTGGTCTTGCTTACTCTGCTCGCTTGAGAGTTATATTTGGTCCTGCATTTTTCTTCTTTGCCGCTCACAATTCCATCGAAAGTGGGAGACGTGGGCAATGCCATCAAATTTCCCCTCTCAAAAAGCGAAATTTTCAATTACGTTTTTGTCTGCTCGAAGTCATAGGGACGGCAGTGCTAACAGCTCTGAGAGAGAGCGAGAAGGTAGCTTGAACATGAAAGGGACAAAATTCGTATAGCCTGCTTAGTTTTTTAGGTGTTTTTTTTCTTTCTTTTTTGCCAAGTAACCCCAATTCATAAACGTCGCGTTGGCTATTTCTCCTCCTTTGTTTCTCAGCGTGTGTTAGTGTGTGTGTATGTGTTTGTGTTATGGCTGGGGTGGAATTTAATCTATCAGTTGTTTTTGGAGTTTGGGTGAGCGTAAGTTTAGTTTTATTCCACTACACAATATATGTACATATACATACATACAACACATACACACGCGAATAGTCGTTATTCTTGCGTCGGACGCTGTCCGCGGCCACTGCCACTTCTGCTTTTGCTTTGCCTTTCCACGCCGCATTCAGCGCGCAAGAAAGAGAGCGAGAGCGTTCGTAATTTTTGTTCTCGTTCTTTACTTTGTTTTTTTGTGCTGTTCTTTGCTTTGTTTTTTGTGCTGTCTTTTTTAGAACGTAACTCGCGCATAATTTCTTGAAGAAAGCAATAATAGTAAAACCACACACACATACACAGAGACAAGCCGATGTCGACGAGTTAGAAAGAGAAGCCCAAGCTGACGCAAGTAACAGGACTCAGAGCAGAGCCGCTGGCGTCGACGGCGACGGCCACGGCGACGACAGAGCATAAGACGTTGCGACTGGTATCCCGTTTGTGGATAAGGCGAAGCGTCTGCCGGCAGAAGTTCAAAGGACATCGGGCTGTCAGGTTGTGTGCGACTTCGCGTTTAGCTACAGTGAAATATCGTCATAGAAACTGTTTGTCAGTTGTAGTAAATAGGCGGTCGCGCTCTAAGTGGTATTTAAACACCTATAATTTCAAGCTTTGATTCATTCAAAGATTACCGGTCAATAATCGATTCGATTACAGTGATACAAAACAAAAAACAACGCTAAGCCAAGCCAAGCTAGCCCAACCCAGTCAAAGCAAACTACCAATCATTGCCTTTCGTTCCTTAAAGCCGGCTTCTGTTGCCCTCGAAAATAAGCTCGCACGTAAACACACACACAGACGGACACACAAATACATTTATGGACAGGCATGTTGATAAACAGAGATATATGTGTACACACCCATAAAAATAAAAAAAATTAAAAAAAAAACAATTTTCCCCACACACACCCACTCAGAGAAAGGGAGGGAAAGAGAGAGAGAGACGCACATACATACATGCGTGAGCTCGTGAAGTAAACAAACAAATAATTTTACAAGGATACCGCAGGAGCTGGTGAAGCTGGTCTATCAAAGAGTCTACTCCAATTGAACTCGCAATTCTTAATCTCTAGTCTCCACTCAAACATGCATCTACGTATTACGCAAAGGCACACACATACCACATACACATACCAACGGATAAACTGATGCGTGCGAGAGGCAACAGGAAATACAACTAAAAAGAAACTATCGACACGCGCCCGGCAACAAAAAATCCAAATATAAATAAATATAAATATATACGT